CGAGTCCGTGCGGGGACGACGATGGAAGGAGGTGAGAGAGGGGAGGGAGGGGCTTACAGGGCAGAGGCACCCTTCAGCGAACCCCGACAGAGGTCTGGGGTTGCAACAGGGGCGTGCCAGGAACTTGCCTGAAAGAGGCCAAGGAGGAGGCCGGCGACGAAGGCCAAAGCTGTCCCCAATGACTTAAGTATATTGACTTGGCCATCTAGTACAAGAGGTGCTTACCTGTCCCCAATGACTTAAGAGGTCGAGATGGGGAACAGGTGCAGGATCTACTCTACCTATATACTGGAGCAGGTGCGCACAGACCAGGTACCTATTTGTACGTGTTTGGTACCTAAGGTGAGTATGAAGCATGTGACCAACGATCAGGTGACCTGTAGCTAGACTAATACCTATGACGTCCTTCAGGGTGCTATGGTAATCGTAATGACTGTGGTGACGTAGGGAGTGACGTAGGGAGTATGATGGAAGCCCGGTGATACCAGGAGGCAGGGCGCCCGTAAGGGCGCTAGGGAGGGGCGGACCGGCGAGGTTGATGATGAAAAAGAGACGCTGTGTGAGGTGCTCTGAGGGGAGGGAGGCGGATGCTGAGGTGCTGCGAGGGTGCTGTGGTGTCTGGGCCGAGTTCTGGTGGGCGTAGGCAGAGCCTAGGAGGGGAGGCGCTGGCGACTCCACGACACTAAGGCGTTTGAATCGTGGAGACGCCAGTCCCACATGATGAAACGTTGAGGAAAGAAGAACGAATTTGAAACAAGCGGCCCTGTCGTCTCGACCAGACGCTCCGCATGGCCGTGCACGCTGCCTGCGCGGACCCTGCACATCTACCGGTACGGATGGTAGCAGATGGGCAGGCCTCCGGCCCCCATTTCTCCCCGAATCCTCGAGCTACCGTCCTCACTTCATCCTCCTAGTGTCCTCGCACAATGCTTGAAGCAGCCCCACGGCCGACTACTATCGGGCCCTTGCTAGATACGCCCCCGGAAATTCAGGGGCCTGACCTCGGCACCACCTACGGAGCGATGCTACTTGGAACATATGTAGGGCTTATGTGAGCTTCCGAAAAACAGAGTCGTGCAATTGACATGCTCACCGTATCTGATAGGTTGTATGGTGTCATGGTATACCAGACGTACCGATACTGGCGCTTGTACCCGGACGACACCCCATGGATAAAAGCTCTTGTGAGTGATAAATCTGCTCCACGCCACGTATCGTGCTCATTCCAGCTTCTTAGGTCTGCGTAACATTGTAATTTCTTCAGCTTTGAACGTAGCCAATAGCTAATCGCAGATGAAATCAACACAGCACGCTCGAAACGTTGCACGCAGTTTTATGCATCGTCGCATTGTGAGTGCATGAACATCAATACTACTCACTGAAAACCTGGGCTGAGTGTCCGCTGTGACGTGTAGGTACTTCCACCTCGTCATTAACTACCTGAACCTTTCCAGCCTCTCGAACGGCCACTGGTGAGCTTTCACCTCTCCTCGATACTTACCCGCTCGACACGACGAGTTGCTCAATGTGCATGCCGCATCAAGGTCCCTGAGGGTGAGCCCGCATCCTGCAAACGCTGCGAATCTCGCTCTCAAGCCGACTGGTTGACTTCGATAGGTCCTCACCCCGACCACTGTGAGTGCCGAAGTTTTGCATCGAAGGATTCATGGAATCGCTTACGCCGCCATATCGCAATCCGTATTTGTCTGATAGGGCTACTCGTTATTCCTCTGCCAAAGGTATGCGGGCCGTTAGTTGAAAGAAGCTAGTTATCGACGAATCCTTTAGTTTCTATGCCGTACGGGTGTACCGCAGTGCGTGCAAGCTTCTCAACCTCATATCATCCGGACACTCATGGCGCGCAACTCTAGTCGAAAGGCGATACGTGTACCGGCTGCTTGTCGGCGCTGCGGTACATATGTCAGTGTTGTGTCCATGATAATCTTTCTAACTTGATGTACAGGTAATTTCTATAATTTGCTCGTGTGGTGTGTTTGATACAACTCCCTACTTGCGTTTTTACACTGATCGGCTTCTGAAAGGCTTTACGACTGGTGGGTATCAAGGGTGCCCGGTGAAAACTTTCTGATAGATGTGACTTAAATATGTAAAGCCGCCACTATCGCCGGGTGCGTGTCCCGCTTACCTCCTCCGGGAGTATACATCGACTCATACCTTGAACATAAGGTCTCATGGCAGTCTCGATGCATTCGAGGACGTCAGTGTGCGTTGCAGATCTATTAAATGTATGATTTATTCGAGCGCTGATACAAACCTTTCGCAGTGGCTTGTAGGTGCAATGTATGGCTTCGCCGTGCTGGCAGACGTCTCTCTAGCCGGTACCCTTGTAGTCATATTGATACGCAATCGCACTGGTTTCAAGTCGTAAGTGGAACGTCTTGCTCATTATCTTTACATTCACGCGGCGCTCATGCATGCTAACAGTACGGACTCCGTGCTGGACACTCTGGTCATCTACGCCATAAATACAGGTACACTGCTGGGATCTTATACCAAACGCGCGCAGAAGCTGATGTTTTCTTGCCCTGCGTAGGCCTTCTAACGAGGTAACTCTCCATGACTCCGTAGCAGTCCTCCTGCATATACGTGAGGCTCATTGCTCGTTATGTAGTGTAATCGGCTTTCCGTGCTTTGTCTTCGTGCGCCCAGGAAACCCATTTTATCTGGGATCCAAGCTGATCCTCTATGAATAGAGTCTCATATATCCCGGAAACCTCATATATGTGGGCATCGCTATCGTCGGAGTCAAGTGTGCGTCCTTCAAACTCTGTAGGCGTCTTCACCAGTCTCACCAACGCTTCATCACGAACAGTATACGCCAACTCCGTTCTCGCTGTGTGAGCATCGAGTTCGCTTCGGGACAAGGTCCGAATCCTCACTGGCTCCGTCTCTCGTTAGCCTCAACTCGCACCGCTCGCTCTCAGACCGCATGCACGAAGACTTCGATAAAGCAGACATGGCGTCTTTCCAGCTCGAATATAGCATTCGACGACCAGGCAGCCCCATCATCTTCGCACTGAAGGCGACGCAGGTCAGTCTTTGCATTTGTTACACGTCTACCTAGCTGTGATGCAAGAACAGCACCGCTCACACGTATGTTGCTGCAGACACAGAACCCTCTGGTGATCGACGTCGCTGCTTCAGGGTCCCAAGACGAAGGAGAATCTGTGTCAGGCGAAGGAGTCTTAGACAATATAGAAGCCGATAAGCGCCACAGTATGAATCAATGTGAGGGAAGTACGGGCGTGGAAATTTGAGGTCGATCATGTCGTGGTCCATAGATGCCTTGCTTGGTAGGGGCTGATACTTGTGACGAGGGATGTGATGGAGGATTGCTTGGATGAAAGCTTTAGTGTTGTAGACTCGCATATTGTATCTCGTATTGTGAGTGATTCACCGTGTATCCGTTCGTGTGTGGGCGCGCCAGTACTCAATACTTGTATGGAAGACCTGCAGTACCCTACAGTAGCAATGAGATAGTGGTTAACCAGAGGCCATGAGTCCATGGACGAGGCCGTTAGATCTAAGAGTGTGACAGGCCAAGCCGAACCCGAACCGAATCCGACGGCGCTGTTTGCGCATGTTAGGATCCAGGGCTGATAGCCTCCCGATTCGGATCTGACCCGAGACTCCAGCAGGGCGGCATCATCGCGATTTGACGCTGCTGTCCACCTCTTCCAACCTCGACTGGCCGACTGGCACGGAATCATTTGCTCCGGGATCACGTTTGACCTCTCCAAAAGAGTCGCTTTTGCTACGCTGTGTCATCTACACTCGCCTTGTCGCCGGCTATCAGCCATTTGCAGAAGAGAGACAGCGTCAAGCCGGATGGCATGCGCCTCCCTCTGCTCACTCTTACAACTGTTACAAGACAGAAATACACTCGCCCTGATACAGCTAAGAAGAGTCTAGCTTCGCATTTTTGAAATAGCACTCCGGGCCTTGTTCAAGATGAATCTCCCTGGTTCGTGCCTCGAAAGGGACGAAGGGAAACATTGGCAGCAGACAAGATTCCTGGGCCGGCTATACAAGTCATCCGGATGCATGCAGTTCACTCTCCTACGCTCCTACGTTCTATGCACCCGGTCATACGCAGGATGCGCGCGCTCAGCGGTCGGATGTGACCGGGCAGAACGTGCACGACGCGCCACCACAGGCGACGCAGGCTGACGCAGGGCCGCCACCACCCCGACTGTGCGCTCTAACAGTCGCACACACTGCCTACCTAACGCGTTTTCAAGGAAGGCAACGAACATTCAGCGAGCGTGACGCCCGTTATTACACCCGGGGCTACACACGACTATCCTGGGCAGCGGTGGGTCGCATAACTGGCTCGGGCGCCGGATTATGCGGGAGCACTCTTGAAGAACTGCGGTGTGGGACTGCGGGTGGCACCAACGGATGCATCGGGGGACTGTGCCATGTCCGCCGTGAGTGCGGGGGTCCTATCTTTTGTTCAGCAACAGAAAAAATGTACGCCACATTCTCCTAGTATCTCTGGACGATTTCTGACCGCTCACTATACATTCATTAACAGTTGCACTGCAACAGATTCACCACTCCCAAAGATTATTGAGTGCTACACGTTTGTCTGTAATATCGTACGCGGAAACGCCTCTCCGTCGCTATGATATATGCGTCTCTGAATATGGGATACCTACAGCACTAGCTGAAACGGGATCATTTGCGCTGATTCGCTCATGTCGAAGTGGCTATCGCATCCACACGTGCATGTCACGGCGCGCGTACCCTTTTCAAAAATAGCAGCGTTTATATGGCTGTCATCGGAATATCACTATCGGGATTGGTTTGCGAGGCACAAACCAATAGGTGTTCGCACCCCTCTACTTCTCCATCAGTCGAACCTCATACTCCAGCACAAACTCCTCTCCGCCAAAGTTTGAGTTTGACCGCCACCTCTTCGGCATCTTCCTCACATTCAAGAGCTACGCGTCTCGTGCGGCGCCCCGGAGAGCGGCCGGACAGGCGCTGATTCCGCGCGTTGCGCAATCTGCCACTTCATCCCTACTCGCTGCGCTTGGAAGAGCATAAAGACCGTCCATGACTCCCTCTCCCAGCACGCCTCTCCACCGTCTACGCTCCATCAACATGATGGCCCTCGTTGCAAATTCAACTGCTCTCAGCGGCCCAGACCAAGCGGGTAGCATCAAGCTGCCTGCACTCGACAACACGTACGGGGCCTTGCTCCTGGGGACATTTTTTGGACTGATGTAAGAGATCCAACGACGGGGCAGAGCGATGCTAATATTCTGTCACCAACCCCTCATTAGGTTGTATAGCCTCACGGTATATCAGACGTACCGGTACTCTCGACTATACCCTACGGATAAATTGTGGATAAAGAGCCTGGTAATTCAATCCATTAGGTCTCGGCTACAGCGAGCTTCGATGCCCATACCCTTCCGATACCTACTAGGTATATGGCATATTGTGTGTTGCTTTCCCTGTATGGATGACTCCCGAGCTAATGCGCGTCGATGGGCAGAATCCTCGAAACATTTCATACTGTCATATATATGGTTTTCGTGTAAGTCTTGACTCCGAACACGTCGCGCGCCGATTTCAACCAAGATGTTGCTCTTATCATCAAGGTACTATAACCTCGTCACAAACTTCTTCAATCCTTTGAGCCTCTCGGTTGCCCATTGGTACGTCTTATACCATCTCGGGCGAATCCGAGGAACACTATTGAGTTACTTAGCTCTACAACTACGTAGGACGACGAAAGTAGGCTTCGAATCACGTGTTCTTCATGCTACCAGCCCACTCCCAATGCTGACGAATATCTATGTGTGGTAGGTACAAGCACCTGCGACGGTGAGCATGGTCATTTGTAGAGGACGCAGCCGCGGTCCCGGTACAGTGCTGATCACTCCGTAATCCAGGGCGCCACTATCGTGCTCTGCCAAAGGTAGCAACGTCTGTCACACTCGAACCGTATTTGTATGCTTACGAATACCATACAGCTTCTATGCATACCGGGTATACCGCAGTACGTATCCGCAATCCCCGCATCCAAGCCACAAACCTGACACATCATACTATGGCTATTGTCGCGGAGGCCCAGGACGAGGGACGACAGCGGACCGACCTGCTTACGGAGGTGGTGCTGGCCCACGCCGAGTCCGTGCGGGGACGACGATGGGAGGAGGTGAGAGAGGGGAGGGAGGGGCTTACAGGGCAGAGGCACCCTTCAGCGAACCCCGACAGAGGTCTGGGGTTGCAACAGGGGCGTGCCAGGAACTTGCCTGAAAGAGGCCAAGGAGGAGGCCGGCGACGAAGGCCAAAGCTGTCCCCAATGACTTAAGTATATTGACTTGGCCATCTAGTACAAGAGGTGCTTACCTGTCCCCAATGACTTAAGAGGTCGAGATGGGGAACAGGTGCAGGATCTACTCTACCTATATACTGGAGCAGGTGCGCACAGACCAGGTACCTATTTGTACGTGTTTGGTACCTAAGGTGAGTATGAAGCATGTGACCAAGATCAGGTG